ACAATCTCAAGTTACTGCTGCAACTGCTACAATTTCAGGAGACATCAACAGGTGAAACAAATAGTCTGTACCAACGATTATTTTTAAAATGTTTAAGAATTCAGATATGTAGCTATGAGATCAGTTTCAACAGCTGAAACTTAATTTACATAGCTCAAGAAGTGCAAAGGAAAATATTTACAAATTTTCTAGGAAGCATGTATTCAAAGAGGATGTCACTGGCATGCGCGCCAACCATTTTTGTTTGGTTTTGTTTTAGAATTTTTATTTTACTTTTAAATTGAGCATCATAATCGTACCTATTTATGGGTATATTAAGAACAATATTTTGGTACATGTACACACTATATAAGGATTAAATAACATATTACCATACCCAACACCTAAAGTTTTATTATTTCTTTTTGGTAATGCTAAGGATTCTCTCTATTGTTTACTAAAATCTACATTGCAATAACTGTCTGTTACAAGTTCTCAACTATGCTACAAAAGAGGAGAACTTACTCCCCTTCTGTAGTTGTAGTCTTGAAACTGCTGACCAATCAATCGCACCATCATTCCCAAGCCTGGCAACCAGTACTGCATCCTGTGCCTCTCTGAGGTCACTCTGAGTGCCAGCTTCCCTGATGCCATAGGTTGCTGGTTAACCAGGGAACTGGGTCTGAGTATCTTGGAAAACAAGGCTGTGGAGAAAGCAAAAGCTAACAGCTCAACACAATGCTTTAGTGTTGGGAGGACTTTGGAGATCATCCTGTTCAAACATTTCCAGTTGGTCAAGAGGAAATAGGCAAGATTACAGTACGACATAGTTAAAGGGTAAGATGATTGTCATAGCAACTAAAAACCCATCCCAGGATAATTTTCCTTCTATTATAGCTTAAAAATCTTCCTATCTTAAAAACAGCAGAAGAGGGAAAGGAAGGGGTGAAGGAAAAGTATGACAAAGGAGAGGAGATGGAGAAAGGATAGAAAGGATTGGGTTTCACAGTTTCTTTTTATCCATGTCTGGTAGATGAGAAAGCCTGCTGATGTTTCAATTAAGAGTAGATATTAAAGTTCAAACAAACTATGTCTTCAGAGTCCTCTCTGCCAAGGGTCAAGTGAGAATCGTGTGGGTGGCTAACCATCCTATTTCTCTAATATCTGGGCAAGATGCTAAGATATTAATGCATCTCGTGCTCTACATTTAACCGCCATCATTCTCTTGGTTTGAGCACTGAGGTCAACAACAGTTCATGAAAGCTACTACTTCATCCAGTGTCTGAGGTAAGGTGTGTTTACCTGCCACCGGGCTCTAGAACACGGTTGTTTACTATACACCATTTTGGGTGGGCCTGTATTAAATAGCATTTGAACAATGAAAGCAAGCATTTTAACAATTTTTGCGACTCAGAAAATAAAATTTCTGACAAACGATTTACTTTTTAACTCCATGACAAGCAAGAATTTCCATGAGAAAATAAAATATAGGTAGCTTAGCTTACAGAGTTACAGGGAAAGTCTACATTTGGATAAATACATAACAGATTTTGTTTGCTATTCAACGATCCTGCATGGTAGTGGCTGCGTGGGCTATCTGATGCTACAAACAGAGACACTGGGAGCCTGAAGGGTCAAACAGCTTCACTAGAAGTTACTTTTTCCTGGCAACGCTATAGAGAAATGAAGAAACAGTCCCAGGCCAAGATCACAATGTGGTGTGACTGTCTGGCACTATGACTCAGCCATGTTTAGGTTTCCTTCCTCTTTTTATTTTGCTTCTTTATCAACCAACTGTGAGCTCAGCTATTCTCTTTAACATCTTAGATCAAGTGATTGCTGACTATGCATAGTGGAACCACACTGCTGTAGAAATGCCTGTTCTTTTGTGTTTACATTTTTATGTGTATGGTACATTATCTGCATACCTGGTACCTAAGAGGCCAGAAAAAGCATCTGATGTGGGTGCTGGAAATCAAAACTAGGTCATCTGTAAGAACAGCCAATGCTCTTACCCAGTGATCTCTCTGGTCCATAGTCTTTTGTACTTTGAAGTACTTTCAATTGTGGTGTTTCTCAGTGACCCACCATAACCTCTAGGGGATAACTTAGCAAAAATTAGCATTTCTTTACTTTGTATGTGTGGATCGGGTCTCACAAAGCTCAAAAGACTTACCCAAGACCCTGGTGTTCCTGTAGGAGGATTAATTTCATGTAGGAAACCTAGTTAAGAGGTTTTAAGTCTGGAAAGATGGTTCAGTGGGTAAAGTACTTGCTGTACAGGCGTGAGAACTTCCTTTTGGACCCCAGGACCCATGTCAAAGCCAGACCCATGTCTGCAGGCATGAGAATGGAGAGGTGTCTGAGGAGAGACACAGGCTTACTGGCTAGCCAATCTAGCATAAAGGGTAAGCTGCAAGTTCAGTGACAGGACCTCCCTCAAAAAATAAGGTGAGAAGTGACCGAGGAAGACATTCAGTGTTGACTTCTGGCCTCTAAGCAAACACGCACAAGAGAATGTATCTGCACACGTGGGCATATACTACACATACACATACCACAAAGAAGTATCACCATATGTGACTTTCTGTTTCTACTCATCAGTAAACAACTTTAAAGGCAGAGATGAATTTGTCTGTATTAGTAAGACAGAATTATTAGAGAATATAATCTATTGAGATATTTATAACAAGTTAATTCGTATCAATGACCCTATCTTACTCCTTGTTTAAGAAATCTGGTGCTATTACATCATTCCTCTGATAACCAACTCAGCACTGAAATCACTGGAAAAGAAACTACGTGAAAGGTCCTCCATGTGGACCATTTTAACAATTGTTCCAACAGGTAACTGAGTTCAGCAGGGCAGCCTTCTGCTGAGTCAGTTTGCCTGCCAAACCCTATTTAAAAATGAAGTCTTGTGGTTGGGCTTGGGCTGGCTTCCACAGCTAGCATTCTGAGAGGATCTCCAGGATTTGGCTAAATTAAAGATGTAAAGACCTTTTCCAAGGTATTGTTAACAAATGTCAAGACACTTGAAAATTTCTAATTAATATTAAAAATAAAAAGTAATCAACTCTTCAATTAGCATTCAGAATAAAAGAATCATAGAATGCAAAAATTACATTTAAGAATTCAATGCTAAATTTAATAACAAGTACCTATGAAAAACATTCATTTGTACCGTAACCTTTTTCACCATCTTATTTTTCCTGTCTTCTCTCCTTCATGTACACACTTTCTTTTCTAATCCATGTTTGTCGATGGCCCCACTTCATCTCTCTCAGCCATTTCTTTCTCTCTGGTCTTGGTCCTTTGCTTTCTCAACAATATACAAATTTTCAATCACTGACTACTTTTTTTCCTTTCCCTCAAGCATTTATTTATGAAAATGTTTTTGTTGGTTCAAAATCTACATGATATTAGTTCATGATAAATTTATTTGTCGATTACTGGAGGGCATGTTAGGTATTTGGTTTCCAGATTTTTGAAATTGTACTGGATAATATTTTATAAGATCTGGATAAGTTAAAGCTGACCACATCAGGTTTAGTATGTACATAAGTGCTGTTGCTTTTTTCTATTTCAATCTCCTTATAAATAACATTTAAGATCTAATACATAACAAGAGTTTTAGAAGTGTATCATACTTCATAAAGTGTCTACAAGGAGGAAATCTCACTATTATTGCAACATATGATATTATTGTGATTCCTTTCTAATTTAAACCTGGCCTTTGCTAGTGTACTAGAGCTCTGAAAAAAGTAATTAGCACTGTCCCCCCATCTGCCATTTACAATCACCTAGAGGTTATGAATACCTCGCCTGTTCCTCATACCTGAATACTTAAATTTGTTTCTATTACTACACAGTGCAAAGTAAAAATGAAATCTTTTTTTATTTATTTTTCTCTGATGTTTCACTATAACAGATTCAGTTATCAGCACATTTAGCAAACGTAAAATAGTAAAACAAAACAACAACAACAAACCCCTGAAGTCCTGCTGTGCCCACTGAAAGCTATTTTACCCAGTCAGGCCTTTGAGAGGAAGAATGCAAGCTGTATTTGTAAGAGCCCGGTAAAGCTAACTGTGGCAAACCTTCACATGAGAATTGACATTTCACTTAAGTCTGCCTGTCTGTAGGGGCTCAGAGGGAACCACTGATTAATTTTTGCTTTTGTGTTATAAGATAGTATTTAACTCTCCTTACAGTTCCTTACAGGAATAAAGAACATTACAAAAACGTTTATTTCAATTTAAAAATCATACCCATGCATGCTGAATGTGTGTGATCACTGAGATGACGTAAGAATTGGTTGCAACATGAAACAGAAAAAAGATGTGTGTTTCTACCTTATTTCCTGACTCTTTCATTTGAACAAATGCACATTCCTTGGCTAAAGAAAAGCACTGGCACTTTTAATACATACACTGCAACTGCAGACCCAATTCTTGGAGAGAAACCATTCAATGTAGTTCTAAAGGTCTACATATTACTGTACTGTGTTGTGCAGCTGGACCTGAAGCATGGATTTTTTTTCAGGCTTCCTCGGTAACTTTCTTCTAATATTCATGCCTAAGTATCTCTGCTCAGTGTTGCATTGTAGTCTGACCAGGTTTCCAGTACTGTTCCTGATTACTTCTTGGGTACTTTACTTCAAAGTAATTATGATTAAGTTAGTGCAATGTTACATTCTTTTTCTTGATAATAATTTTATGGATTTTTGGCATTTTCAAACACGCATACTGGGTATTTGACTATATCCTAACCATGTCTCCGCCCATAACCTCTATCAATCCTGTTCCCAACTTTATTTCCTCTTCTTTATTATTTATTTATTAGTTATTTTTAACCCCTTAGGTCAAATTAATATGGCCCATGTGTACATGGGTGCGTGTGCCACCCATTGGGGAAGCTACCAGTGGCCACACCACCAGTAAAAAATAACATTTCACAGACATCCCTGATGCTGGTATCTGCAGCTCCTCTCCATATTTGCTGACTCTCCGGACACTTACCTGGATAATACCGGGCCAGGCCAGTGGCACTGCCGAACACCTGCCACAGCAACGTGGGGTCTTCATCTCGGTTTCTTTTGAAGACTTCGTCTAAGGCACTTGTCCAGTTGAGCTCGTTTAACACTATGGTTGCTAACCAAAACAAGAAAAACAATCATTTTATTCAAACGCATATTACTATTTTTTCTAAACTTATGTTACATGTTCTCATTGTCTGTTATAAAATACTGTAATCTACTGGAAATGCAAAGGTTTTAAGCATAGAACTAAGTTTTCAATAATGTATGATGGTACTCTGGTTGACATTTAGAATGGGTAACTGTCCCAAACCCCACATATTGCAGAAAGTTCAGCAGTATCTTCCACCTGCGCTATTAGGTAATACTGCCATGCACCTCTCACCCCCAACTGTGACAAGAAAGTGACCTCAGACTTTCTTAAACACTTCTTTGGTATAAAATTACTCCCAAGTACAAAGTACCAATATCTCCCTAGACACATGAAGAAAAGGAAGTTGGTTTATATCTCTTGGCTTTCTCAGAGGGGGTTTACAAGAGAGTTTAAACAGCACAACCTTCAAGTTCTGCTGACTCTCTGTTGTACGTTCATGTGAGTTACCCGGGGACCAGAGTTAAAACACAACAAATACATGGTTATCATTGAGCACCTTTATCAGCTGTGCTTACACAACACCAAAAACATGTGTATAGTTTGGTAGAGGAAAAAGTCACTGGGAAATTTGTTCATATCAATGTTAGAAGCTGGAGACTACTAGTCAGTCAATGCTTCATCAATACCATTCAAAGCAATAATTTTTATTTTTCCTCTTCATTCAGTTAATAACTAGAGCATGTTGGTAATAAGGTCCATGTGATTAACTTAGACACTGAATTATAATTACTTACAGATCTGGATAGGTTCTCAAAAACATGTCATTCTCTAGTTTGGAAGAATATCCAGAAAGAGACTTTCAGATAGTATTTAAATAATGTGCTTCCATGATCATAACATCATAACATAACTACAGCATGGTTATAGTTTCTCTGGGAGTCTGGGGTTATAGCTGTATACAGTGCCAGCTAGCATGTTGAAGGTCCTAGTCTTGATTCTCAGCATGGTAGGAACTTTGTGTGTTAGAGAACACCTATAGTCCCAGCATTTGGGTAGTGGATTTAAGATTATGGTTTAAAGTCATCCTTGGAGGCCAGCCTGGAATATATAAGACCTATCTGAAAAAAAAATGACTGGAAGGAATATAGTTTTCACTCGCACAACTATAGACCTGATTCTTGGAGAGAAACCATTGGAGAGAAAAAGAGGTATAGACAATTCATGTATTTCCTGTCCTTATATGTAAAACATGAACCACATTTCCAGCAGATCAGCAGAATGAGGCTGGGGTCAATACACATATGAGAATCACTACTTAAGCCTCAACTGGAAGACAGTGCTTTAATTACATGTGATCTCAAGATTAAAGCAATTTTAATTGATGTGAGCCTTTCACTCTTTTGAGCATGAACATTTATAGCAATGAAGCTCCCTTTAAACACTGTTAGCTGTGCTCCAACAGTTTTAATATTCTGTGCCATTAATTCGCTCACCTCAAAATGTTTTCTATTTCTGTAATTGTGTTCTCTTCTGTTCTTTTCTACGACCATAGGAAACAGCAAATGCAGTCACAATTAAATAATGTGCAGGCTTTAGGCAGCTAAAATGAAAAGAGTGTTTGCCTTTTCTTAGGCTTTTTCCCTTCTGTTTGTTTTGCCCTACTCTGATTTGTTTCTTAAGTCTCATTATATTTTATTATTATCCTAGATGCCTATTTGTTCTCTAAGGAGAGAGAGAATAGGATTGGATCCAGATGGAGGTGAAGTCATGGAGAAACTGAGAGGAATACAGAGAGGGAAACATAATCAGAATATACTGTATGAAATAATGTATCTGTTTACAATAAAAGAAATTCACCCAATAAGAAAAGGGACATGAAGCTGTAAAAAAAGAAAGTTACATAGTATGTTTGTTAGTTTCTTTTTTGTTTGTTTTCCTTTTAAAGAAAATAACAAGCACAAAGAAATTATAAAGCCACCCTGGGACCAGCATCCTGATGCAGCTCTCATTATGGAAAACTAATGAGATTTTCATCTTTATGTATGTGATTACTTTCAGGAAGATCAGCTGTGTGTGTGAGTGTGTGTGTGTGTGTGTGTGTGTGTGTGTGTGTGTGTGTGTGTGTGAATATTCATGAGCTGGGTCAGATCCACGGTACATTTGGGTTATTGAAGAATTTACATTCAAAAGCATGATTCCATGAACACCAAGTGGCCAGTTATATGAAAATTTATATTCACATAGATAACCTGAGCTGATACCATCCATGAATATTTAAAATATTATACAAATCATCATAGAGAGGGACATCATATTTTTCTTTGAACATTCATGACTTTTATAGTAACATTGTATAGAATGAATCATAATGTTTATTTAGGATTCATAAGCACATCATTAATGTCCAAACAATTTTGTCTTTTCAATTTCCTTGACTCTATTTCACAACAAGCAACAGAAAACAGATAATTACTTTTATTAAAGTTTTATTGTTTGCTTGGCTGCTATTTCTCTTAATTTTATTAGATATCATAACAACTATGATATAATAAGAATGGGCACACCATACAATTTGTAATTATGCACTGAGCAAAACAGCTAAGCTCTGACAAATTGCTATCCTTGTGGCAATATGTTTTAAAATTCCAAGTCAACATATTCGACAAAATTCTCAGTGAGGCATTATAGACAGATTTCTAAGTATTTTCATCAAAATGTGTGCATCTACAAATGAGCAAAGGATATAAAGTACATGTACAGACGAGGCACTTGAAATGCTTTTAAAGTTTACTCAGAATGAAAGAAATGATACTATATATCCAGCACATTAGAAAGACACAAGCTTGATATCCAGTATGTATTGGGGTCTCAGGATACAGTAAGCATATATTTATAAGGACTTCTGAACACAGTCATTATTCTGTTAGTTCCAGAATAATTAGACTTGAATGTCTAATGCCAAAAGTCAAAACACAAAGGTCAGCTGCAGGAGTCCGGATCTAATAATACACCCTTGAGGGACAGTTTGACAGTATTGTCACAGTGGACACAGCCTTTCTTTCTTTTTTTCTTACAATCCAACCCTGTGTCCAGAGACTGAAACAGAGAGAGAACTGGCCCTTGCTCTTTTCATTTCCTCAGATGCACCCTCCACATTCCTTACAAAACAAAACCCTGACAAAGTAAGATACACTGCACATTACAATTTTTTTTCTCAAATTTTACTGAAAATACTTAAAATGTAAAAGAATGTATAAGGACATATATAAAGCATCAAAGCAAACAAGAAAGCAAGTATGCATGTGACCAGAACCTTGGTTACTCAGCTATATTTTCTCTAAAACAGATTATGGACTATCTTTGGTTAGTAAAGATTATTTAATAACCTGGAATTAACAGATATTTCCTTTGCAATTAATAAAGAATAGCACATCCAGAATTACTACTGTGCACAGCAGCTGTCCATCTGTATGGTATTGCCATTCTCAGGGTGGCTGATGCTGAGGTAAGTGGTAGGTCATTAGCAGAATCACAGAAGCACAACATGAGCCTCAAGAGCCACTCAGGCCTCTGCTTGCCTGAGATCCTCCCTCTACCTCCATCCATTTCCTTTACACACAGTCAACCAATCTCCATCTACGAGTCTTTCCCTCTCCCAGTTTGTAAAGAGTATGGTGAGGAAAAGGCTGTTAAAGCAACAATTGTGGGTGCAACTGGGTAAAAGGCAGCATACCAGAGAAGTTCAACCTTCCTATATGGAAATGTTTCTATGCTGAACACTTTGGGTGGCTATGTACTTCCTCTAGTCCTGGTGGCTCTTGCTTGTTTCTATTTTCCTGACACCATAATTCTTAAAATAAAAGATATAAATCATATCTATTTTATGATAGAAAAAAACAAGCAAACCCACATTATCCAGAAAATTATTCAACTTCAGGAATTATTTCTCCAGATAGCTAAATATATTATTCATTTAGATAATGGCATTATACTGGAAATTATTTATTGAACTCAGACTTACTTATTAATGTTCAAGGAATTATTGAAAAAACATTTCACTTACAATTGTTTATTATAAAGTCTTCAAAATGCAATCGATAGCACATGTCACAATATTTCAATATTAGGACATCAAAACTGAATGTTCTTTAACTGCAGCTATTGAGATATTTCATAATTACTAAGTAAATTATAGTTTCAAAATAAGTTCAAATATTTAAAAAAAAACCTTAAATTGTGTGTGTGTGTGTGTGTGTGTGTGTGTGTGTGTGTGTGTGTGTGTGTGTGATGAGGCGTTCTAGGAGCCAGAAGACATCAGATTCCCCTGAACAGAAGTTACAGGGAGTTGTCAGCTGTGAGATGTGGGTGCTGGGAACTGAACCCATTTCCTCTGCAGGAGCAGTCCATACTCTTCACCGTGGAACCATTGCTCCAGCTCAAGACGGTCAAATCTTTCATAACCAACAATACAACTTACCTATTTGGACAGATAAATTTTAAAAATATAGATCACATTTCTAACAGATTTTCTCTGATTTGATTGGAACTCTTTTTTAATTATACTGCATTTTATATTATTAATCATATATCATACATATTATGTTACATTCAAATTGGCCCTACCTTTCCCTCTGAATCCTAAAAATAATATGATTTTACATTCATACAAACTTCTTGTCCCTTGCTTATGTTGAGAATAAAAGTAAAGTTAGCTCTGATATTCTGTTAATTTTCACAAACGGTATGTTTATCTGTTAGAAAATTATACTTTGTACAAATTAAGTCCTTTATAGATGTGCAAGGCCAACTCAGAGTGACTGTATGAAGAACAGCCTTGACTTGAGGGCCTCTTCTGAATGGCATGATGGGATTGCACTGATAATTGATTCACAGTGCCAAGCATCTATCCCTATTCTTCATGTACTTGGTTTTTCAAAAGTATGGCCTTGGTCTTCAGTGATCTCTTGTTAAGAGTATTTTATTGTTCCGGGTGGCTTCTCGGGGGAAGAAAGAGGAATTCA